ACTTCGACATTAGACGAAAAGGGAGGAAGAATCGCATCTGGGAATGCTCGCAGTACACCTCAGGGTCCATGGAGTTCAGGGCTCAGGCGACAACGCCGTTCTTGTTTCCCGGTATACTTGTCTAAATCTTTTTGGGTTTAGGGTTTAGGGTTTTGCCCTTATTGTAAAAAGGCTAGCATGCTTAAGCAAGTGATTGCGTGGCGATGCCCCTGTCTGAGAGGTAGCCGTGGGGGCCAGGGAGCTTAGAAGATTCGCGCCACAAGCGTTGTGCGCCGGTGGTGGTGCTGTCACAGCAGATGAAATCAAAAAGGTGCCTCTTTACTCCTAGCAAGAACCCTGAACCCTATACCCTAAACCCTATATTACCTCTTTAAGGGAGCCCTTCTGGGAATAGGAGCTCCGACAGGCAAGTGCCAACCTGGCTTGAACTCAAGAGACTGAAAATACCTAGGACACCATCGTTTCAGATTCTGCCGACGGCTCCTTGAATCGTATATCCTAAGCCTTCACCTTGGGCTTTGATGTCCAGAAAATGGGGCTTGAGGTTTACTGCTCCATGAAAGAATGAGTGGCAGCGCTGTCCTAGCGCGAGGATGTCTTCCCAGTCTCCTAAAACGCTAAGCCCTAGGCTCAACCCAAAAACCAAAAAATGCTTCTACAACATGTAGAGCTGTACAGCCCGACTCCTTTGCCTGGGCTTGGGATATCGGGTTTCGGCGTCGTGCTTTTGGGTGTCGGGTTTTGCGCGCTTCTGGATCGACAAACCTCGATTCCCTGAACAAAACCCCGGAAACCCGTCAAACCCTCAAATAGGGTTCAGGGGCGTAGTCCCACTCGTCTTCTAGGTCAAGTCTTTCATGTGTAGGCTGGGGCACATCTTGTCTTCTCCCTGTTCGCAGTCTTGCTTTTGATTCTAAGACTCTCATCTACAATGCCCAGAGTAAATCGGGAGTCTGCCACATTATCCTTTTTCATGGTCCGGGGGGGCATGCGGGGCTTCCTTTCGGAAAGACCATAGCATGTCAAAAAGCAGCAGTTCTGTGTTACCGTCGCCGTTGTCCTCAGTCACGTCCTTCATGCTGCGTCCTTGAACCGCAATACCCCTAACCAGAAAGCCCGAGATATTCGTGCAGAAAGCCAAAAGCAACTCTATCAGCCTTCACCAGACAGATACCGTAAGGACCGACGAGTGAAGCCACTACGGCAGTTACAGATAAAAGCTTGAAGAGTATATTATTGGCTTTAGGAGTGCAGGTTTTGGAAAGAAGGATATCGGGCCCAGTCCTCGACTCCCAGAGCCTAAGCGTTCAACCCTAAGCCTCTTCAGCCCTGAACGAGCCTTCAACCCTAAACCTTACATCCTAAACTTTCAACCCTGCCACCACGCTCATGGCCGCAAACTGCCATGCAAAGATCATGTTTGCGCCAGCCTCGGGGCGAAGATAGGGGGCCTTGGTGAAGTACTCCATGTGATGCAAGTATAGCGTACCCCCTCGAAAAGTTACACTACAACGCACCGCTATCTCCCAAGACCCTATTCTAGCTATTCAGGCCCCTACATGAGCCGTCACTGCATTCTTCTGGCCCGGACTTCTGGATTCAGAGTTGAGGGTTTGGGGTTGAGGGTTCAGAGGTTGGTATAGAGGGGATTCGATGAAGTGGTTTGGGTTCGAGGGTGAGGTGTCGGGATTTATTAAGGACACGCTGTAATCTGGCACCTCACACCCGAAACCGCAGAAACCCGGGTTGAGGTGTTCAGCGTCTAGGCTTTATACTTCCAGGCGGATCTGCCGATAAAGTACTTGTGGGGTTTGTATCACTTAGCTGAACGCAAAATTCCGCAAACGCTGACTTCTGCTTCGAGGTGCTCCGGCATCTCTGGGCACATGAAACGGCCAGTCCTGCTGTGTGCTCCATATCAGCCTCAACCACAGCATTGATTGAAGCCTTGATCAGGGCCGGGGCTCGTATGGGCCGAGCGAGCTCAGACACTGATGAAGCCTGAAACCCCAAATTCTCGTCTGAGCTAAAGACTCTTTCAAAATCCTACATTCCCAACAGCTTTACTCTGCAACCCTAAGCTCTATGACTTAGTCCAGAGGGCCTCAACGCACAAACCTAAGTCCCTCGGTCAAAAAAGCCCAAATCTGTGAAAGTAACATGCCTTCAGGCTGGGTGTCGGTTTCCTGGGGCTTTACCAGGGTACCTTGGCAAAATCCCGTCACACAATCCCTCTACAACTGGCATTTCCAAGAATTCCGACACAACCGCGGCGTGAGGTTATATAGAAGGGCCTTAGTCATTAGTCCAGTGCGTTGGTGTATATTATACTATACTTATAATCGGACCCCTAGCGAAAACCCTTCCTTACAACAGGAACCCTAACGAGTACTGTACTTAGAACCGGATTCCTAAAGAATCTTAAGATAGGAACACCAAGGCAGTCTACCCTTATACTGGGCTGCAGTCAAGGAGCTTACGTTAAGTTACCATAATGGTGATAGATAGTAAATAATAGGGTTGCTTTACGATGGTAACTTAAGCTAAGTCCCTTAGCAGCAACCCAGTACAACAGGAACCCTACGGAATAGTATCACTACTTATTCAGGAACCTTCAAAAATACTTCACTTGCAGTAGGCAGCCGAGGCAAGACTATACCTGACTAACAGGAACTCTAAAGTATACTACCTCTTCGAATATGAACCCGAAGGGATAGTATGACTACTTATCCAGGGCCCGGGGATTGCCACGCTTGAAATTGTACAGTATATGAACTTATCCAAAGAAACCGGAGCAACCATGAAGAAGACTCTAAACCTGATCCCTAAACCCTAAACCCCAAACCCCAAGCCCTAAGCCCTAAACCCTTAAACCCCAAGACCTAAACCCTAAA